CCTGGATGTTGCCAACAAGACCTATAAGGAAGAAGCAACCTCCTAGAAGTAGGGAAATTAAGGAAAATGGTAAAGATGAGGAGATAAAGAAAGTTAGTGCCAATTCTGGCTCTCGTTTTGCTGCGCTAGAAGTTGAAGAAGGGGAGGAGCATGTTATAGATGCATTTAAGGTTCAGGAAGAAACTCTACCATCAAAGGAGATGAGCATTGGTGAAAATAGCAGTAGAGGTGATAAAAGAAAGGACATTAAACAGACTTCAGAAGCTGAAAATAAGGAGAAAGAGAGGAAGAAGGAAGCTACGTTGCCATCTGTCTCGGGGAATCAAAAGACCTCAGGTAAGAAGGACCAAAAAGTTCCCCCTGAGGTGAAACAACAAAAAATTAAAGGGCCTGAGACATTAAAGAGCCTGGAATTGTCTTCCTCAAGGACTGCAAGTGAAGGGAAGGTGAGCAAGGCTGGTGCTAGCTTGGGGAACCATGTGGTCGATCCCTCTCTGCAGCGAGGAGGAGGTCACACTCCGGGAAGGAAGCAGGTGAAGTAGGAAACTGATAAGGGCAAAGCAACAACTGTTAAACCAGCAGAAACAGAAAACTCCAGGAACCCGCAGGGATAAGAAGGAACCCGCGAGGGATTCTTTGAGCACACTAAACCCCCCAAAAAGTGGGACACTCAATCCCAGGATGATTGTCTTTGACTCCTGTCCAGGGAAGCAGAAGGGCGTTCGTAAAAATGTGCACCATGTCTTTCCTGCTGTTGGAACGGATGCACCAGGAAGTGTTGAGACGGCTATGGCCGTCGACACCTGAGAATCTCCAGCAACTTATATGGTTCAGGAAAGAACTTTTCTTTACTAAATGATTAAAGTTTTTTCTTTGAATTGTAGGGGTGCCCATCACCCTAAGTTTTTGTCTTCCTTTATGTTTTATAAAACAAAGCATCAGCCTAATGTGGTGTGTATTTTTGAACCCAGGATTTGGGAAGGATGCTAGCTCAGTTATCAAGACTATGGGATATGATTCCTGGAAAGTTTCTGATGCTATTGGGTATAGTGGAGGAATATGGGTTCTATGGGAGAGCAAAGAAGTGAACTTGGAGATGGTGGACTGTCACAAACAATTCGTTCATCTTAAGTGATTTGTGGAAAATAAAGAAATTTGTCATATCACTACTGTCTATGGAAGTCCCAATGAGTATGCTAGGAAGGCCCTATGGGATGCTATCAGAACCATTGACAGTAGAACTCACCTTCCATGGATGCTCACTGGGGACATCAACTCCATCACGAGACCTTCAAAGAAGCAAGGGGGAGCTAAGTTCCGATTTGCTAAAGTCAGAGATTTCTGTGAATGCATCCAGGATTGTGGACTGATTGACTTAGGGAATACTGGACCGAACTTCACCTGGTTTACCAAGTCCTCCTGGCTAAAGGAAAGACTGGATCGTAGTCTTTGTAATATGGAGTGGCATCAAAAGTTCCCAACGACGACTACTTTCCACCGGACCAAGCTCAAGTCGGACCACTGGCCTCTCCTTACCTGCACTAAGGGTACTAATCTGAAGAAAAGACTTCCAAAGAGGTTCCAGTTCCTGGCTCCATGGCTCGCTCACGAAGATTTCTTCCCTTTCTTGTCTGCAACTTGGCAGGCTCAGGGTGATTTTGTGGCCTCTCTGCAGGGGGGTGACTAATGATCTTAAGAAGTGGAATAAGGAGGTTTTTGGAAATATTTTCAAGAGAAAAAGGATTCTTTAAGCTCAACACTCTGGAGTTTATCAATGAGAGAAACCCAACGGCTAGATCTAGAATGGAAGAGCAAAGGACGAGGGAGGATTTGGAAGATACACTCTGGCAAGAAGAGCTACTCTGGATCCAAAAGTCTAGGGCTAACTGCCATATTCATGGAGACCAGAACACACGTTTTTTCCACAACAGTACTGTGGGAAGAAGGAAAAGGAAGAGGATCTCGGGGCTGAGAGATGATCAAGGAAATTGGGAGATTAACCCGGAAGTCCTTCTCACAATGGCGAGAGAGTTCTTTGTCAAACTCTACACCAGAGAGGAGGAGGAGTTTAGACCTTGGGTGGCAGCAGCCTTTCCCTCCATTGATGATGCCTTGTTGAAGAGGGTTGGCGCCATTCCTGCGGTGGAGGAAGTGAAAGCGACCCTTATGAGTATGAATGGACTGAAACCGCCGGGGAAGGATGGTTCACAAGCCATCTTCTTCCAAAAAGCTTGGGACATTGTCAGCACTGATTTCACAAGCTACATTATTTCTTGCTTCAGAAACCCTGAGAAAATCCAGTAGATCAATGATACTCTTCTTGCATTGATTCCCAAAGTTGATGCACCTTCGGCTATGAGTCAATTTCGACCTATTAGCCTCTGTAACGTGAGCTATAAGGTTGTGGATAAATGCATAGCTAACAAATTGAAGGATCTGATGCCTCTTCTTGTTCACCAGAACCAATCAAGCTTCGTACCCAAACGTCACATCTCCTCCAATATCCTGATCCTTCAAGAAACAGTCCATTCTATGGCAAGGAAAACAGGGAAGAATGGGAGTATTCTTCTCAAAGTGGACCTCGCTAAAGCGTATGATCGAATTGCTTGGCCCTTCTTGGAGGAGACACTGAAAGCCACCAAGCTGCCCAACTCGACAATCAACCTTATTATGAAGTGCATGACGACGAAGTTCCAAGTGCTTTGGAATGGGGGAGAAACTGAGACCTTCACACCATCTAGAGGCCTTCGTCAGGGATGTCCCTTATCTCCCTATCTCTTTACTTTATGTGTTGAGAGACTGAGTCATTGCATTTTTTACGAGGTTAACTTAGGAAATTGGAAACCTGTGTGTTTGTCTATTGGTGGTCCTGCTTTGTCTCACTTGTTTTTTGCCGATGATCTTGTTTTATTTGCTTAAGCTAGTCTGAAGCAAGCTGATGTGGTTATGAACTGTTTGAATTGTTTTTGTACTGCTAGGGAGAATTGGTTAGTAAAGAAAAATCTAGGGTCTTCTTTTCTAAAAATGTTAACTCTCAAACCAGGAAAGACATTTGTAACTGCTTAGGAATTCAAGCTACTACGGATTTTGGTAGATACTTGGGAGTTTCTGTGTTACATGGGAGGCTTACTAATATACTTATAAGTACATTTTGGATAGGATGGATCAGAAGCTTACCGCTTGGAAAGCTAAGACTCTGTCACTTGCGGGTAGGGTTACACTGGCCTTGTCAGTTTTGAATGCAATCCCTACCTACGCAATGCAGACTTCGATGCTCCCTGCTTCGATTTGTGACGAGATTGATAGGAAAATCCGTAGCTTTGTTTGGGGGTCTAATGTTGGGAAAAGGAAGGTGCATTTGGTCAGTTGGCATACAATCTGTAAACCTAAAAAGATGGGAGGGCTAGGGCTTAGATCGGCTCGTAGTTTGAACCTTGCTTATATGGTTAAACTAGCATGGCAGATCTTGAACAATGATTCTGATCTCTGGGTGCAGGTCCTGCAGGGAAAATATTTCAAGCATAAGGAGGGGAATATTGTGTCGATGAAGACAAGTAATCACTCTAACTTGTGGAGAGGAATTGTGAAAGCCATGCCGCTGATGAAGAGTGCCACCTGCTGGAGTATTCATTATGGCAGGTCTACGGGGTTTTGGACCCATCCTTGGCTCGATAGTGGGATTGCCCTCCAGGACTTCCTCCTGAATGGCATCACTGATGAGGAGCTCTCCTCGCTAGTTGCTGATTGGGTCACGGAGACATGTTAGTGGGATCTTCTCCCTAATTATGTTCTCTTGATGATTGTAGGGATGGACACACCGGACCCTGACGCAGGCGAGGATATGACGATCTGGGGACCTGAACCTAATGGGAAGTTTTGGCTAGAGTCGGCATACAGACTTGCTGCAAACGAGATGGAGGAGGAGCCAGTGAAGATTTGGAAGGAGTTGTGGTGATGGAAAGGGCCAAGCAGGGTGAAGCATTTCCTCTGGTTGGTTGTCCACGATCGGCTTCTTACCAACAAGGAACGAACCAAAAGGCAGCTTACGACGAACAGCTGCTGTCCGCACTATCCTAACTGCGAGGGGAGCATTGAACACGTCATGAGGAGCTGTAGAAAAGCGTCAAGCATTTGGTCGAAGATGAGGGACAGTTTGAAGCTTATCAATATGTCTATACCTTTCCAGGAATGGCTGTTGGGCAATATTAGCGATGATTTAACTGGAGTCGACTTCGGTATTATTTGCTGGCATCTCTGGAAGAAGAGGAATGAGGAAGCGATGGAAGGTAAAAGATTCTCAGAAGAAGGGCTCTTCTACCGGATCAAAGCATGGATTAACATTTTCAGGAAAGCTCAACAAAACTTCCAGAACTCCTTGATCCTGCAGGCTAGAACTTCTGAGCGTGTCCAAATCGGATGGAAAGCACCTGCTGAAGGATGGGTCCAAGTGTCAACTGATGGATCAGTCCAGCTACCTGAGGGAAAGGCTGCTGCAGGGGGACTCATTCGAGATCATCTGGGCAATGGCCTTGCCACTTTTGTTAGCAATTTAGGTTGCTACTCAATAACGAGAGCGGAACTTAAAGGCATCCAAGAAGGGCTTAAGTTGGCTTGGAGCAAAGGATTCAGGAAAGTTTGCTTGATTTCGGACTCGTCCACTGCTATAAGTATCATCAAGAGCAAGAGGAACGAGGATCATTACTATGAGCTTATTGCACATGGTATTAGAAAGCTCTTGAGTTTAGATTGGGAGGTTACTATCTCTCATGTGTATAGGGAGTCCAATTGTGCTGCCGATTTTCTCGCAGCTAGAGGTGACGAATCCTCTTTTGGCACACATCCGCTCGATGTGAGCAACCCAGGATTGGAACATTGGATCTTGTGCGATGCCATGGGTATATCCTAGGAATGGTTTATTAGTAATATGATTTATGACGCCTTTGGCGTCGTCTTTCCACCCAAAAAAAAAAGACAAACTAAGCCCGCCACGAAAGAAAGTATAACTAGGCAAGACCAGAAAAGACTTGCAAAGACTCTGCACATTGACTCCAAATCCTGATTAGAGAGAGATATAGTCGTAAGTGAATGTGCAACATCGTAAAACTTCCACATTCAAGAACAAAAGTTTCAGATGGGAGGAAAAACCATGCTAACCAGAAGAACCCACCCACCAGATTTGACAACAAAAAACAATCAAAAGGATTACATCATGGATCTACATGACCATGTATTAGACTAACCCTCGATTCCGAGGGGTAAGAAAACTCCACTTCCAACCACTTTGTGCGCTTCATTTATACTGCTTCCTGGTTTCAAGAGTTACTACAATGATCTTCTGTTTCAAGGGGCCCTGGTCTCAGTTCTCACATTTACACCAAAAGAATTATGTCTTCCCTCCAATAACTTTGATGCAATCGCGTACCTAACGGAATGCCTCCAAAACATATGTTGCTATGTCGTAAATGCTGTTAGCTGCCTTGGGTGGGTATATCACAGCCTTTGACTGAAGTACATGTTCATGAAGTATCTTGAAGGACTGAACCCGCTTAGAATTACTGCAAAGAGTTCAGTGAAAAACGAGAAATGATCAAAAGAGATCAGGCACATATTTTAATGTATGGGTGCATTAAATTACTTACAAATGGGAGAAAGGACGATGACTATGCCGATTGGATACAAGAAAAAGGTTGTTCTCTCTAGGAAGGGTAGCACTGCAGTCAAATGCATCTTGCTGGTCATGATTAGCGTAAACAAATGACAAGTGTAGAACTGATACATTATCTCTTCGCAAGTATAGCTGGAAATAAAAACAAAAATCACCTTACCGTCATAACCTAGAAAGTTGAGGTAATGGTAATACGAGGCTGCCACCAAGAAAAGCAGGTTTGATAGTAGAACCGGTATGAAACCATGGGCCACCAAAAGAGGAGACAGAAAATAATGTATAACTGCAAGAAACATAACAGTGAATCATTAGTATACTAAGGACGGACAAACGGCAGGACTCTAAAGCAACACCATTTGAAGTCCTTGCTTACCATAGAGCATAACAAACATGGGGAAGAAAGAATTGCAGTGCACATCGAATGCATACAACCTTCAAAAAAGATAAATTTGAAAAATAACAAATGGGAAAAAGAAAACAGGAAAGATTCAGGAACAATGTCAATACAAAAACGCAACAGGAGAAAATGAAAGATGCCAAGACTTTGATATTCACAGGTATGAACAATTAACATGGCATTACAGAAAAAGAAGGGGGACGATTTGATTAGACTTGCCATTCAACCCGTTGCTCGACTACATGACTATTTGGAGCCTCCTCCCGAAGGTATGAGTTAGTCAAGAACCTGAGGTACAAGACAGGAATGGTTTTATCACTGATGTACAGAAAGCCATGAGATATAATGAGCAATAGGCAGAAGCTCAAGAACTAACCCCGGACTGTGAAAAATAAAATAGTAACCATAGGTCAATCGTAAACTTGTGTCACTGTTCATATTATGTTGAGAAGGTACTAACAGCCCCTAACTTTGCTTGCTAACCCACATTACAATGGCAGGAAACCTCAATAACTTAAAAATCAGATGAACAGAACTTTCTATTCAAGCATGTCTCAATTGGTCCTAAGACTTCAAATCTCGTCAACTTTGTATTCAATCCTTCCAAATTCCAACTCATCGATTATTGATGCAACTCCAGCCCAATTCCATTAAAAGGAAGCAAGATCTCATCAAATAGTAGCATATGCAGAGCACACAATTGCACACTCAATTTCTTAAGGAATTACCATTTCAAGTTTTTAATTTGCTATTTCGCCAAATTGATAAAACCAATGACAGCAGTGAACAAAGGCTAAAGTAGATTGATAATCTTACCAACAAGAAGTAGCCAGAAGCACCCCGGCAATCAAAAAGTGGAAAAGCAATACTGATATAACTACAAAAACAGCATGAGATGCACTGTGATCATACCTGAAATAGACAAGGAAAAAGTAAGATTAAAATTGTATGGAGGTAACTACAATATTAAGTTAAGCAACAAACTAATGAAATATAGACAGAAAAGGAAGTCGGATTTACAGCAGAAAGAAAAGCTTGAGGAAAATATTTCACAACTGGAAAAAATGAAATTCAGGCATAGGATTTTCTAATCTATATCAGGAATCATAAGGTAAAAATGATGCCAGTTCTTCTAGTTTATGTCAGGGGAGGTGAACGGGAAGAAGTTCATAAAAAAACTTACGCCGCACAATAAGCCAAAGTCACAACAGCCAGAAGGAGACTGCAGATTACAACAAAAGCAGGATCGTCACGTGCCCATTGATTCTTAGTTTCTGACATACAAAAGTGAACAACAATCTTTCAAATTTCATCTTACATTTTCCAGAATAAATGCAGAATACTCCCCCTTAAAAACTGCATACGCGACAAAACCATTGGAAGATATTCACTAATAGAAAACACAAGAAACACATGAATTTCAAAGTACAAGCCTGATGCCTCTGTTGTGCATACACAAGGACAATGAATAGCCAAAATATATAATAGGCACTAGCCACTAACAACATTCTCAAATAAGCCCTTTTTCTATTAGAAAAATGAAATGATGATGAGGGTGGGGGTGGGGGTTAAGTTACCAGAATAGCACATTCTGGAACTATCACAAAAGGAAAAGTTGCCTTCAAATTGTCCATTGCATAAACCCCATTATGAATTCTCAATTATCTCACCACCTAATATGGTTGCTAATTTGACATACAACCATCGAAATGATTCTGATCATATACTTGTTCAATAATACACCACTTAGAGACCCAATAGAGCAGTCAAGGAAGTCCATCCAAGCAATCACCTTCATTTCTAATGTCAGTGTCAGCAGCTCACAATCATTAACGCAAGAACAACGAGAACATCCGATGCACATAAATAAGATATACAGTGGACGAGAAACTTACGCTTATGGTACTTAGTGTGCTGATAGCTGCTTCCATCCCACAGCAACGACATGCAAATAAATTGTTAGAATCCATTATCAATAGGATAAGCTTGCCTGTTTGACCAGCAACCCCAACTTCTGACACATTCAAACTCTGATATTTTTTTCTCCGACTCCATACAACAAAAGCAAATCAGGATATCACAACGTACAATCACTCGGAAATGTGAAACAAATACGTGTACAGTCATTACTCCAGCAATACCATGACGTTATAAAGGTAAAATCCTTACATCTTAGCTATGGTACAGCCAAATACTAAATATTAAGAAGCAGAGGGCTGGAAATAAGAAAAGGAAATTGAGAATCATGTATGAAATTCTTCAACATCACGTAAGTTAAGCTATGCAGCTTCGAACGATCATGCAATACGAGTCAATAAAAAACAGATAGAAAGACCAAAGGTGTATCACCTAGTAACACAGAGGCATCACATCACCTACAAAGGGTTAGATGCAAATATGCGAACCGTAAAAAAAGATGAAACAACCAAGAATTACTTACACAACTTTCGGGGAGGTGCATAGATGAAGCATTTGCCAGAACGTGTATTCAATGTCCATTTGTTGCCACTAGAATGATCAAACAAAGTATAACAAAGGGCCATAAGAGAAACGAAACCAGTAATAAAAGCTCAAACGAAAACACAACTTCCCCTCAGAAATGGCACAGTTCCTGAACACTGAGATACGAGATCACATCCATACTAAGACACAAAGGCTTATCAATTCCAGGAGAAATGCGCACATCAAATCAAATTCTGAATGCACTTGGTTCACAAAAACAAACACTACAGACTCAATCGAGATTTCTAACTACAAAGCCCTCTCGAATGAAGGCAGTGATCTACTCCCAAAAACTAGCCGCTAAACTATACGGTTACGGGCTCCAATTGCGACGATTGACTAACGAAATGAGATCTCCCAGTGAGTCAGGGTACAGTGCGAGAGACGGATTCGAATTGAGTAGGATATATCAGATCTTGAACGACACAAACTTTAAAGACAGAGAGGAAGGGAGCAAAACCTTGATAATTCTGCGAAGGTACTGCGGGAACATGGAGTGAGCTCTAGATGCGGAGGACGAAGCCCTGGCTTTGGACGAAGTAGGCAACATCTTTCCTTGTTGCTCTCTCTCCTCTTCCCTTCTTCGGTGGAAGGCAGCAAGGCGAAGGTCGGCGGAGCTTGATCGAAGATCTACGGGGAAATTTCTAGTCGACGGAATGGGAGCTCTGGCCTCTGGCTCAGTTTAGAGATCGATCGGGGCGAAACTCAGAAAATGGCGAAAAAAGTGAAAACGACGAGACGACAGCGCTCTCTGTCTAAGCAGGCAGAGTCGCTGACAGTCTTACTCTTACTTTCCTTCCTCTTCTCCGTCAGAGGGAGCCAGCCAGAAACTGGGCTATTCGACTGGGCCTTCGGTCGAGTTTTTTATGGGCATATATCTCATCTCTACGGGAAAGCTATTTCACTTATTTGGGCTGCGAGCCGACTATTTCCTTATCAGTGCTATGTAATTCAAATATTCAATCGGTCATTTATGCCGTTTATTGTGTTTGGAGAGTCGAGCGGCTACTGTCACATGTGGTCGATGACATGGCGCCAACAAGGCGGCTGCACATGTGGCATGTATGGAAGACTAGTAGCATAGAGATGCTCCTAGGATTCTCCACCTAAATGAGAGCTTAATGGTGCACTTATGGGCTACATTATGGGTAGCATTAATAGAGTGCATTATGGGGGGACTTTATGGGGTGTATTGATGTAGTAGAGAGACATTATAAGGGGCATTGATGCCTTGTATGAGGAGAGGCCTATATAAGGAGTCATCTCCCTCACTTGTAACTCATTCCATCATTTTTTAGAGTAATACACACTAGAGAGTTCTCCCACTTCCTCTGTCTTTGTTCTTGTTCTTTGCTTTCAAATGAGTTGAGAGAAAGGCTGCCTAGCGCTCTAACGGATTTGAGAGCTAGGGCCGCACGATCGAGAGTAAGGTCGTGACAAGTGGTATCAGAGCCTGGTTCGGCTTTGTGCTAGCAAAGTTGAACCTAGAGCCAGAAGGAAAGGAAGAACCTCACCAAAAATGTCGGGATCAGAAGTCCATGACGATGCTGAGAAGCCGCGTGGAAGAGAGCCCACACCGGGCCAGAGAGGAAAAGGTACGTCGAGCACTCGTGATCCTCTCAAGTCTCTAGAGAGGCGAGTCTCGCGGATGGAAGTGAAGATGGCGGAAGATATCACTACCATCGAGGATTTGGGAGGTAACTTCGCCCAAGTCAAAAGCGATGTTCAAGGAATGGCTGGTAGGTTGACAAGCTTGGAGATCAACCACGATGGGATGCGGGAAGAGCTTGTGGCCCTCATCAACAACACCATCACCGTCTCCATGAACAACGCCCTTGAAGTTGTGAAAAGAGCAAGTCCAGGCTGAGCTGGTCGGCGTGGAGGAGGAGATTGCAGACCTCAAGAGTGAGGTCACTCTCGTGAAGAGAGCCATGGCTAGCGGACCAGCCCCGGTGCAATCCGTCCCACGTACTGATGTTCCAAGACCGAAGAACTTCGGAGGTTCACGGAACGCGAGGGAGTTAGAGAACTTCCTTTGGAGTCTTGAGCAGTACTTCAAGGCGTCCGGCATCCAAGAGGATGAAGTAAAACTCCGTACCGCTCCACTATACTTGGTTGATGTTGCAATGGTGTGGTGGAGGCGACGTGAAGCGGACGTCGAAAGAGGTACTTGTGTGATGGTAACGTGGGAAGATTTCAAGAGAGAAATCAAGAGGCAGTTCTACCCGGAGAACGTGGAGTTTGAAGCCCGTTCGAAGTTGAGAAGACTCACCCAGAGAGGTGGAGTTCGAGAATACGTGAAAGAATTCTCGGAGCTGCTTCTAGAGATCCCCGGACATCACGGACAAGGAGGCCATGCACGGCTTTCTTGATGGGCTGCAACCATGGGCCAAGATGGAGATGCAACGTCGAGGAGTGCAAGACCTTGCAAATGCCATGGCCACGGCGGAGTCTTTTGTCGAGTACAAAAGGCAAGAGAGCAGCGGCAAAGAGAAGAGTTCGAAGCCCAACAAGGGTGGAGAACAGCAGAAGCCTTTCAAGGAGGGCACTCGCGCTCAACAACACCAAGGTGGTTCGAGCAAAGGGGGTAAGTACGAGCCAAAACCCATGTCTTGCTTCCTTTGCGACGGACCACATCGAGTGCGGGATTGCCCAAGGAAGGCGAGATTGGCGGCCATGGAAGCTCAAGAGGAGGAGCCCAAGGTGGCGGAGGCCAAGATTGGGTCAATCCGCAAGCTTGGCGCGGTGAAGACCGACGTCAAGGAGAGCAAGAGTGGGAGGTGCTATGTGCTGGCGCAATTCATGCAAGGCGAGTCAAAAGCCTTGGTGGATACCGGTGCCACGGACAACTTCCTTCGCATCGAGGAGGCAAACCGGCTGGGTATTGCTTACGAGAAGGGGCAAGGGAGGCTCAAGACGATCAATTCGGAGTCCATCCCAATCCATGGAGTTGCTCACAACGTGCCAGTGAAGCTTGGCGAGTGGGAAGGCCTCATCGAATTTTCCGTCGTCACCATGGACGATCACCCAGTCATCCTCGGCATCAACTTCCTCGACAAGGAGGGAGTGCTCTTGAAGCCCAACTCCAACACGATGTGCTTGGAGAAGGAGGGGGAGTTCCATGCGGTCCATCTCTTGAGAGAAGATGGCCCCCATAGTGCTCTATCGGCCATGCAGGTATTGAAGGGGTTCAAGAAGAATGAACCAACCTTTCTTGTGTCCTTGAAAATGGAGGAAGAAGGAGGCTCAGCGGGAATCACAACTCCCATCATCGAAGGTGTCCTCGAAGAGTTCGATGACGTGATACCGTCGGAGTTGCCCAAAAAGCTTCCACCAAGAAGAGAGGTGGACCACAAGATCGAGTTGTAGCCAGGAGCGAAGCCCCCTTCGCGAGCACCATACCGCATGTCGCCACCGGAGCTAGAAGAGTTGCGGAGGCAGCTCAAGGACTTGGTGGACGCAGGCTATATGCGGCCATCGAAGTCACCTTTTGGAGCACCGGTGCTGTTCCAAAAGAAGAAGGAAGGGTCGTTGCGGATGTGCATCGACTATAGAGCCATCAACAAGTTGACGGTGAAGAACAAGTGGCCGATCCCCAACATTGGCGATTTGTTCGACCAGCTTGGAGATGCGATGTGGTTCACCAAGCTTGATCTTCGCTCGGGCTACTATCAAGTGCGGATAGCAGAGGGCGACGAGCCAAAGACGGCTTGTGTGACGAGGTATGGCTCTTACGAGTTTCTTGTGATGCCATTCGGTCTCACCAACGCACCAGCCACGTTTTGCACTTTGATGAATCAAGTGTTCGAGCCATTCTTGGACCGGTTTGTCGTGGTCTACTTGGATGACATCGTCGTGTATAGCAAAACACTCGATGAGCATGCCGAGCATCTACGCCAAGTCTTCCAAGTCCTTCGCGACAACGAGTTGTATGTCAAGAGGGAGAAGTGCACATTTGCAGCCACGGAGGTTCCATTCTTGGGGCACATCATTGGTGGAGGCAAGTTGAAGATGGATGGAGCGAAGGTGCAGGCAATCCAAGAATGGGAGCCGCCGACGAAGGTGCCAGAATTGCGCTCATTCCTCGGCCTTGCCAACTACTATCGGAGGTTTATCAAGGGCTACTCCAACATTGCAGCACCCTTGACGGATCTCTTGAAGAAGAACAAGGCGTGGGATTGGTCGGAAAGGTGCAAAGAAGCATTCGAGGCCTTGAAGCAAGCAGTGGTGAAGGAGCCCGTGCTCGTGCTCCCCAACCCAACGTTGGCCTACGAAGTGCAGACCGATGCATCCGACTTTGCGATCGGAGGTGTGTTGATGCAAGATGGGCATCCCATTGCCTTCGAGAGTCGGAAGCTCAGCGAGACGGAGAGGCGATACACCGTTCAAGAGAAGGAGATGACGGTCGTGGTGCATTGCTTGCGCACATGGAGGCACTACTTGTTGGGGTCAAAGTTCGTAGTGAAGACGGACAACGTGGCAACGAGCTACTTTCTTACGCAGAAGAAGCTCACCCCTAAGCAAGCAAGGTGGCAAGACTTTTTGGCCGAGTTCGACTTTGTCATGGAGTACAACCCAGGCAAGGCGAATTCCGTTGCCGATGCTCTTAGCCGCAAGAGTGTCGCCGCAAGCATCAGCCAGCCCATGTTTCCTTTGAAGGAGCGGATCGTTGAAGGCCTTGGCCATGACCCCTTCGCCAAGACCGTAGCGGAGTACATCGAGCAAGGCAAGACTCGACGGTTTTGGATGAAGGATGGGCTCATCATGACCAAGGGAGAGCGAGTGTTCGTGCCAAGGTGGGCCAACTTGAGGAAAGAGATTATGAAGGAGTGCCATGATTCCAAGTGGGCGGGCCATCCCAGCATCGAGAGAACGCAATCGCTCATCGAAGAAGCATACTTCTGGCCGCGTATGAGAGACGACGTGGAGATGTATGTGAAGACTTGTCTTGTGTGCCAACAAGACAAGATGGAGCAGAAAAGCCCGGCAGGCTTGCTAGAGCCCTTGCCCACGCCTCAACGACCATGGGAGAGTGTAAGCATGGACTTCATCATCGGACTTCCCAAAGTCGATGGATGCGGTTGCATCATGGTTGTGGTGGACAGATTCTCGAAGTATGGAGTGTTCGTCCCCGGCCCAAAAGACATGTCGGCAGAGGATGCGGCGCGGCTATTCTTCAAGAACGTGGTCAAGTATTGGGGCGTTCCTAGCAACATTGTGAGCGACAGAGATGGGCGCTTCACGGGCAGATTTTGGCGAGAGTTGTTCAAGATCATGGGCTCAGACTTGAACTTCACGACGACATTTCATCCTCAAAGCGACGGACAGACGGAGCGGGTGAATGCCTTGTTGGAAGTGTACTTGCGACACTACGTGAGTGCAAACCAACGAGATTGGGTGAAGTTGATGGATACGGCACAATTCTCCTACAACTTGCACCGCAGCGAGTCGACCAACACGAGTCCATTTGAGTTGGCGACGGGGCAGCAACCTTTGACACCTACGACGGCGGCAACGGGTTATAGAGGCAACAGTCCGGCAGCCTACAAGTTCGCTAAAGGCTGGCACGAGAAGATGGAGATGGCCAAGTCTTACTTAGCCCGCGCTAGTAAGAAGGTGAAGAAATGGGCGGACAAGAAGAGGCGGCACTTGGAATTCGAAGAGGGGGACATGGTGATGATCAAGTTCTACCCTCATCGTTTCAAGCATCTCAAGAACGTGCACAAGGGACTGCTTCGCCGCTATGAAGGGCCATTCCCCATCGTGAAGAGGATTGGCACGGTGGCTTACAAGGTTGAGTTGCCGACTCACTTGGAGATCCATCCGGTCTTTCATGTGAGCCAACTCAAGCCTTTACACGAAG